TATAAACCTTAGTTAAATAGATTAATACTACGTTAATTTACTTATTATTAAGTTAATTTATAATTTTATATATTTACGTCCCTTAATAGTCCGGGTTAATATTTACTTATTTATAAAGGATTAGGATTTTATTTAAAATTAGGTTTTATCCTCTTTTTCTTTATCCTAACTCGCTAAGGGTCGTATTTTAGCTTATATTTATATTAATAGTTATTAGCGTATTTAATATTAATAAGAGTATATCTAATTTGCGTACTAATTATAATAAATCCGTACTTTCGCTACTTAACGAATTTATTAAAGTTTAGGAAATTCCCGCTTTTTTTTATTATCTCGCTACTACTCTCGTTTTTACTATTTTTAATAATTATTACTACCTTTTTAAATCGCTAACTATCGTACTTATTAAAATCCTTTTTTTTATTTAATATAAAAAAATAAGTTTTAATAATTCCTTTTTTTAATAATAATAATAAACGTTTATATTACTATAGGACGATATAATAATTAATCTCGGGATTTTTATTAGTTACTAATTTTTATTATTCTATATATTTTTAGTTTTTTAAACCTCGTGCTCTTTATAATCTTTAAATAGCCTCCTTTTTTAACTTACTTTTTTTAAAGTAGTATTCTATAAAAATAGTTAAAAATAAACGCTAAATAGCTCGTAAAAGAGCTATATAAGTTATTAAGTATAGTTAATAAAATTAAGCTCTTTTTTTTATAAAATCGTAAACTTTAAGGACTTATCGAAAATACTTACTTATTACTCGTACGTAATAAGGTTAAATACTTTAAAAATCTCGTTTTTTATAACCTCTTAATACTCTATTTTATATTTTTTAAGTAGTCTTTTTTATAACTTAATTATAGTTAAATAATTATTATTTACTAGCGATCCCTTTTATTACTTAGTTAATTTCTTAAAATTAATAATCTTATGCTAGGAGCTAGTTAATAATCTCGCACTAAGAGCTAATATAAAAAGAAGCCTTTTAGCGGCTTTTTAAAAAATTCTTTTTTTTTTCCCCTTAAATCCTTATCTTTTTAGCCTTTTTTTAAATTAATAATAATTTTATTAAAAAGTTATAAAACTATTTTAAAGTAGCTACCTTTTTTTTAAGTTAATTTCTAAGATCCGTAATATTCTTAACTCGATATTATTAGGACCTCTAAATCCCCTCTTCTCTTATTAAACCGTTTTTTATATTATATTTTTAACTAATACCCAGGGGGTAGTTAAGGGAGTTATAAAAAAGTTATTTAAATTATAAGTTTAAGGTCGTACTTATAAAATCCTTATAATAATATACTTTTTTATATATTATAAATTTCTTAGCTTAATAACTCCTATATACTTCTTATTATACTAATTAAAAATATTTATATTTAAAAATCCTTTTTTTTAATTACGTAATACTTTTTTATATTATATTATTAAGCTCGCCTATTGTACTAATTAATTAAGTAAATAGTTATTATATAAGTATTTCTTTCCCCCCGACGGAGTAATTTACTAGGGCCGTACCGTATATTACGTATTAGGGAAAACTAGGTATATTACGCTCTATACCTAATTACTAATTAAAATAGCTCCTAACCTTTTGTTACGTAATTCTAGCTACTTATAAAGCGAGCTTTACTTATTCTAACGCGTATAAGACCTCCTAGTACTAGCCTATATAAATAGCTAAGTTTAATATAATCTATTTTTTTATATAAATATTATTATTACTTAAGGGGTCCCGTAGGAGCTATTTAAAGCGCTAGCTTATTATCCTAACCCTATATACCTCTAGCCTATTTATTATAATTATTATAACTAAGCTAGTATTAATATATTAGATCTTAATATTTATACTAGCCTAGCTATTTATAGTACTTATAATATTACCTAGCTAAATTTTATACTATTAAAAAGTACTTTACTACTTTTTAAGTATATTTACGTTAGTTACGATAGCTATAGCGTCGAGCTAGCTAAAGAGGGTACCTAGCCCGAGAAGGGTAGACTTATCGACGGGCACTTTTAAAAAGTTCTAGCCTACTAATTACTAACTATATACTAGGAGTAGAATAGTAGTTTATATATTAATAAGTTTATTTAGTAAATTTATTTAGTAAATTTATTTAGTAAATTTATTTAGTAAATTTATTTAGTAGATTTATTTAGTTTAAATAGAGAGTAGCTTTAAGTAATATTAAAAGTAATAAGGATAAAAAAAATCTTTACGAGCTCTAAAAAATAGTAAATATTAGCTTATTTAGCCCTTTTTTTAAAAACCTCTATATTATTATTAAAGTTTAGAACCTCTACGGTTAAGGGCCGCTTCTAATTATTATAGCCGACTATAGCGGCTAACTATTATAGCTAATTATTACGGCCGACCTCTATTATTAACCTTTCTAACCGGCGCTACTATTAAAAAGGGTAGCTTACCTATCCCGAATTAAATAGTAGTTTTTATATCGAAATTACTATATTACGTTAAGTACGTACTTAGGATATATTGCGCGTATTATATAATTAAAAAGTATATTATATTATATAATTTCCTTTAAAAATATAATCCCGTTAAGGTCGATCTTTTATACTTATAAAGCTAAAAAAAAAACTACTATATAAGTATTTCTTTTTACTAATTTAACTAGTTAATTTTTAATTACGGGCTAGTTATAAAAAAGTTATTTAATAAAAAAGCTATTTAAAATAATAATAAAAGTCTAGTTATTTAAGTAGTTCTATTAATTAACGTAGTTTAATATAATAAACGTTAACTTTTTATAAATAATAAAGGGCTACGATTATTTAATTCTATATAGTATTTAAAAATTACTTTGTTTTTTATTTATTTTTATAAAAATAATTAATATAAATCCCCTATCCTATATAGTATTAAAAGGTCGTTTTTTTTATATAATAAGATATTTTACTAATTTATAATAATAAAATTTAATTACTAATTAGTATTAATATCCTTATTATAGGGTAGTTAGTTCGAATCGTAATTAATAAAAAGATTAATTAAACTATATAAATATTTACGTAATAAGTATAAAAAAAAGGTTCTAATTATAAGTTAAGCTAGCTATAATAATTATAAATAGGGCCCCTAATTAGCCCCTGCGCAGTCGGCCGTATGCCGCGGTCGAATTAGACTTCTAATCCGATAATAGTCTTTAGATTAATCAATGGCTCGGCAATAATTCCTAGGGATCGATTCATTTGTGACCAGGGGGTTAATAGCGTCTTCCTCCGTAATTTGATCGGTATGTTCCCGCGCCCGTTTGAGGGGGTTAGCTTTCCTTTGTCCGTCACTCCTCTGCAGCGGCTCTTTCGCTGTCTGGGGTTTTACTAGCTAATTGAGTACTTAAAGTGAGCCTTTGCCAGGATGCTGGTCGGCTACACTGTGCGAAGCGAGAAATTTCAAGAGGCTTTGCAAGCCTTGGTTGGCATTAAATCCTGACCTCATGCTGAACCCGGACGACAACGTGCTTCAGAGCCAATGATTCAACATTGGCTAGCGATGTGTTGCCGTTCATCAAGTCTTTCAAGGTCTCCATGAACTCGATGTCTTCCTCGGTCAAACCATGATTCCTCGCTAGCCTAAAGTTGATGGTCCGCACTTTTTGAAGCTCATCTTCGTCGACATCACAGCCAACTGCGCCCACGTGTTTAGTAAACCTAGCTTTTGACGCCGCTGGTGGTCTGGAGAAAGTAACCTAGAGCTTTCTGCGTTGAATTGATGTCTTTCGTGTCGTCACCGAACTCATGCGTGCTGATGAATGCTGTTATTGGGAGGGGCCTGGTAACATCCTACAACAACTCAAATCCCTTTCAGATGATGTCTGATATCTTGAGTAAGTCTTCGATCCCCTCACTTTTGAAATAGTCCAAGTTCCCGAGTACAGACTTGAATTTTTTGTCTTTATCCTTGATTTCCAAGGCTCCTTCATTATTACGTTTTGTAGTCCCGCTCTGTGGCGTCGGCGGATACAAGATGTAGAGATCTCCATGATAAATTGGCCCTGACTGTGAAGCGTGTGGTATGGTATCTTGCGGTATCATGATGGGGTTGAAATGCGCGGGATAGACTAATGTTGTAATTGTTGCCTGTGCTGCAATCTCATCCTCATCTCGAATAATGTCTCATCTCGCCTTATGTAAGAATCTAGAGAGGACCTCGGAAGGTTCTTCAGATATCTCGCTCGATTGATCTGAATCAATGCAGAGTCATGTGTCAAAAGTGATCAGCGATTTGCCTCGTTTTCTTGCCCGGTAGTCTGTAAGCCACGATTCTCGCTCAAAGTTTCATATGGAACGACAGAGCTTCAATCTAATACTCTTCCTAACACAGCAAGATATATGTGACATTTCAGATTTACATAAGGCTATAGAGGAATGACAATGAAGTCGTTCTTGATTGCAAGATGACTCTGAGGCTTTTAGACTTTGCCACACACGAACGCCAACGTAGATACTCCATAAAGCCATTCAGCTAAGATACATGAAGGCTAAGTTGATTAGTCTCTCCATCAGACGTGCAACATCATGGCTTGATAGAATCAATGGCTATACTTTACTGTACCGATGCAGTTGGACGATGTCTTTCGTTCATTTATAATGTTGACACTAATTCAAAGATTCGCTAAGCCTATCATACAGAAGTGAAGATATATGCGAAAAGAAAAGTGCCCTCGAGAGACAAAATCTTGTACGAATAGATATGGGATATGATGACTCAGCAGTGATAGATGAATGAAGTCTATATATGACATTATGGGTATAACTAATACAGATGACCGCCCAAAGCCCAACCCGCTATCATTAACAGAGCACATTGAGAAGTTGCCTCCCCATTAAACATAAGAGATCTGATACTGCAATGTAGAGCCCGATGTCTCCGTAGGCCTGATCAGTAGATTGGCCGATATCCGTCAACGGTCCTTCAAGCAGGCTGCTGACAATTGGCTCTTGCGCCTAGCGAAAATGTGTTTCACATGCTGCCCACGCTCTGTGCCCTCTCTTTCTCAATTGTATCGATCGAAAGCGGCCTTCCATTGACCTTCTTCACTCCCGAGTGACCTTCCATCTCCACAACGACCGTTGTTACTGTCTCCATCTGGATGCCTTCCATCTGCCCAGCCCGTCTCCTTAGAGACTCCTGGCTGATGCTCCGATGTGCTCCACTGCGACGACGATCTCGCTTCATGTCACCCGCACCACGTCCCCGGCGGAATAGCTTCCAGAGCCAGCCACCGGTACCCTCATCCGCAGACAGGTTGTTAGGTGCACTTCCAGCGCCCTGTACCCACACCATGTTGCCGTAACGCCGGTTAGCCGGTGTTCGCATGAAGGCGAAGGTCTCGATACCTGTCTCTTCGAAGTCTGGGGAGGCATTGAAGATAATGACATGACGAGTGGTGGAAAATAGCAGAACATCAAGCCAGCCGTTGGATGCAATCATTGCACCGGCGAGGCAGAAGTAATCCAAGGAAACAGACTTTCCAGCCATTGTGATGACACGACCTAACGCCAAAGGTGCCGTACACAGGATGTAAATTATGGGATAGATGAGGAAAGCAGGGTGATGTCCGGCGTTGCTTGGATTGGACGCCGATGCAGCTTCGCCATGGGAGCTCTTTGGTGGCCCAGACTGGGACATTGTGTGGGCGTGGCTGAGTTTACGACCACGGTTGCTCTGGGAGGCAGAAGACGTTGTGTTGTTGGAAGAGGAGGGTAGTTGAAGTGATGGGTCGGTGCGTCGGATGTGGTTGAAGATGAGTATGTAGAGGATCGCAGTGATGAAGAAGGAAACGAACATCCACAGGTAGTGAAGATAAAGACGCATCGCCTCATATCGGACATTCACCCAGCACTATGATGAAGTTAGCTCGAGCTGATATGTAGACACAATGACATAAACTTACCCATGCAGCGGCACGGACGTAGAGGCCACCGTTGTCGGCTCCATTGTTGGTGATGATGACGCCGGCTATGGCCAAGGCGTAGATGAAGAACCAAACAGAGCCGATCATGCACCAAAATGCCCAAGTCGGGAGCTTATAATCTCTGACAACCGACAAATAGGTGTGTATGGCAATCGTGGTGATAAAAGCGCTGGAAGCCAAATCGCCTGTCGAGATGAACCAGCCCTGCGCCCAGCATGTCGTGCTCTCTACGATGATTCCACCCTTGTTGAGCCATGCCGCATTGAGCAAGAAAGCAAGAGCTTGCTGAATATCGGCCAGCAGCAGGTTGTAGATGAGCATCAGGAACTGGTTGGGTGCGTCCCTTTTGACTTTGCGCTTCTTGTTGCCAGGGTACATCGTCTCCGGAAGACCCATCTCTTCGGCCAGGACGGCATCCGCATTCGGCTCATCAGCCATGCGCTGTGGCCGGTCCGGGCCCGGTGCAAGATACCATGTTATCAGCCGATAGGTCAAGACTAAGAAGAGTGCTGTTGTTGTGATGAACGAAAGGAAGCCGAAGAAAGAAACGGCAGTTAGGCCCCGTTGCAGAACTTCGGGAAGTGGCGTCAATGTTTGACTGTTCGGGTCCAGTTCCATGGCGGGCGGTCAACGGCGACGGAGCAGCCAGGTGGCGTTTCGGGATAGAACGGGGTGGGTGGTTCGGGTCGCCGTTAGACGACTTGTCTTTACCGAGCCGTCATCCAAGCTTTTGGCGCAACGCCCTCTCCGATGGCAATCCTTTGTTGGTGAGTATGCCGGCTGACGCAGAGGTCGACGGTTTCGTGCAAAAGACGTTGTAGAAGTGGCTGCAAGCCAGATCATAAATGGCCTTGGTCTCTAGAGATGGGCCAGACCAGACGGCGGAGCCAAGGTCAGTCATGGAGGCCCTGTCCCTGGCATAATCCTTAGCTTGAATGGAATCAACACGACCCAACTTTGTGAGGGGCGGTTATTCAGCATTCGAGTGACTAGGTGATGGGGATCATGTCGGTAAAGACTACTTCCGTAGGAGCGAACAAATCGAGGAAGATAGGAATTCAAGTGTTAGCCGGAGTTCCACCTCCCCTAAATGGAAGTATGACCGGGATGCTGGGTCCCTCTCTCAACGTAGATTGACAACCTGGAGATTTGAGGCAAGGGCTCAAGGGATGATTTGCGCGCCCATTCATCTGGATCTGGGGAAAGAAGATTTGTGAGCGATTCACAATTAGCGGTATGTTATGATCGACAGCCAATTGCTCTAAACTTTCCACGGCATCGTACCAAGAGCCGTAATCACCAATAACTCTAGGTAAAAGACAACGCGCTTCCCTTGGAAGTTCAACGAATCCAGCAAAGATGTGTGTCTTGTTGCACTCAAGTGGCCGCAGTAGCCTCGACTCTTTGACTACTTCATTTCACTAAGGACGAGCCTGTCAGAAAAAAAGTCAAGACAGGGGCTCAATGGGCGAGAAGGGAAGGGCTGCCACGAGGTCTGGCTGAGCTAGAACTTGACGAACTCATGCTAAATCGCTAGACCAAACCTTAGCTGGATACTATGAAGCCCGTTGATTGGTGCTTTTCCGACATAATCAGGGGTGGGATCCTTCTTGGAACCACCGGCATGATCACCGAAATGGGTTGCACGAAATGCTAGCTTTCATTCGGGTGTCCCTGCGTTGAGTAGACAAGTTAGGCTTCTGCAGTGGCACGATTATTGTAAGCTAGAATCTCGTTTGTGGAGTTGCTCATTGCATCTTTTGTCTCATACGTTATTTGCGATGCTGCTTGTCGCCCTGTCCCCGCGAACTCCATCGTCGCCATAGAAGCTCCATAACGATTCTTCAGCTCAAGTTCCCACCGCCCACGTCCTGGGTTCTGGCGCTAGGCTGAAAACGGCGCTCTTTGACGAGACTCGACAGCGCTAACACGATGGCGGCGTCAAACTGCTCTTGGCTCACAAGCGAGCCGTCGTCTAGATTGTTTCGAAATGTTCTCTCTCGTGGACTAGTCGCGAGAAAGGCGATAATCTCGGTCGATGACCGTTGGAACTAATGAGGCAAGAGATGCGTTCGATATCTGATTTGCAGGCCTTCAACGTGGTGTCCAGGGACCAAATCCGATATACTCAACGATAGCTTCGGCATCTGAATGATGCAACCAAGCACCTTGCAGGGCAGTTGGCGTGCGCCACTGAAACGGTTATCTCGCTGTCTTCCGAGCTGTCAGATTCGACCGATCTCACCACGAGGGAAAAAGAAAAGAGAACCGTTGTAGAATCTTACTGCCCGAGGGACACATCAACTCATTCGACATCACATAAAGAACTTGCCCATTGACGTCTTTCGTAATGAGCCCCAGAAAGAAGACGACACAAATTGCTACGTAACAATTCATTGGGTTTTGGGTACGTAAATCGCCAGTTCTCGACTCCGTGTCCGACGGATTATTGCCGGACTTGCCGCCATCGCGAGTTGAGCAAGTGGAGTGGCGGCTTGCTGTTTGCCAGCTGAAGACAGCCCTGTACGGCCGAAAGAAATCATGCCCCCGGCCCTATCCTGGGAGGAGGCAAGCATCGTGGGCTTCGGGTCGGATCATGTTTGCATATAACATCCGCCCTGTAGTCGTTCATGACTCTGTCGACCCGAAACTCTGGAACAGGGGGGATAAGTAAGAGTTCCAGCACCGTAGCCACGCGGTGATGAAGAAGTAGACCAGCTAGGACCTGGGATTCGTGATCATTTTGAACTGGGTACGCTCAAACTGGGTACCCTCGAACCCTGACCTAAGCCACCCTGGAGAGGAAATTTGCAGGGCAAAGGGTCACAGCTTAGGCTCTCGCAATAAAGCTAAAGACAAGTTACGTTAGCTTCAAAACCCTTAGCGTCCAGCCGCACTGCAGGGGACATATCCGGTCACTTGACCTGGATCGCATTGGTTTCCTCAAACAATCTCCCCCAGCAGCAGGGCAGAATTTGCGAGGCTTGGCTGTAATTCGTAGAGTGCAGATGCAGAGATTTGTTCCAGCAAAATTATTACGGGATAATGGCGGTGACGCAAGAGATTGGTTGCAGGATTGTGACTTCGCAGGCCAGCTCTGGAATTTGTCTGCGCATTGCCTGGCCGCTCTACATGCGCGAGCAATTCCTGTATCAAATCGCGAATACCCGTCATGGCTCTGAATTCTATTTCATCGGATGAAAAATCGAATCGAGCCGCGCATAGACGTCTCGGAGAATCTTACTGCTTCAACTCGGAACAGAGTGAGAACACGCAAGCGATTTGAGCACTTACCACCTGGCACCTGCAAGCTTGTGCGTTTCTCCAGTCCTGTCCAACGTACAGGTCTGAGCTTTAGCTCAACAATCGGCAGCCTCGGTTTATGAAGATGTACGTACGTGGCGTACGTGGCTTGACTGAAGTCAAATATCTGAATTGAAAATGCATGATTCGTGGCGGGTGATACTTGACGATCACAGTGGCATAACGGCCGCTTCAAGACTGACTAGAGTGACTAGACAGCTGAGTGGCTTAGGACTTCACGACAGAGGGTGAATTTAATCCTGCCAGGCATCATTCCTTCGTCTCGGTATCCACCCCGAAGACTCGAATCTTGCGAGTACACGTGCACCTTGAGTTTTGTGTGTTGAACAAACTTGTTAAAACAGAAACGGTACCAATACTCGATGCCTAGCGTATGAACCTTCACTGCCGTAAATGTGAGTATCCACGAAATAATGGAAGGGTTGCGACTCACAAAATGTCGTTCATAGGTAAGTTATATTCATATATCGGTTATTGTGAAGTCCATGCTGCTTCCACAAACACAGTAAACATTATACATTTCACAGCCCGTGAGAAGCGAATTCAGGCTTTTAACAGCTTACTCATAGTCTTCTCGTGGGTAGCCTGGTATTGCCATAGCTCATACGTCTCCTGGGACCAATGGAACATTGTATCGATAGACCGTGGCAAAGGCTTTGCGGTGAATCTGATACACGCCATTCTCGAAGTTTATCTAGTATCTTTCGCGTAGCTAGTCCAAACCCACCGAATTGGCCATGCCTATCCCTCATCCTATCCCGTGATACAACCCTCGGCAATCTGAGGCGAGTTTGGAACCATATCTCGGCTGCCCAGGCAGGTGAGGTAGAGATCCCACCGGAAGGCAAGAAGCGTGCCCTGCAACTATTTGTCACCCGTGCGAGAAAATGGGTGTGTCCAGGTCGCATAGACGAACGCACTGAGGCCTTGACTACACACAAGCATAACAAATGCACGCTAGGTAGTCATTTGGAACATATCGAGCATGTAGTGATTTTGTAATTCAATATGAGCCAAGCAGAATGATAAAGAATGTCGGCGAGTTCAATTCACATGATTGTCATCCGTTGCGTTGAGTCATAGACTTACTCCTCTTGATCTGAGAATATCCAGAAAGTACTACTTGTGCAATAAAATCCATCTCTATTCGAATACTATTAATCTAGACTTGTTGTTCTAAGTACATGAGGAAAGTAGGGTATCGTGACAGTTTGCAAGGATATCGCTCTTCTATTAGTGAGGGGGTGTATTTCATAGTAGCGGATACTGAGCAGAAAGATTCTTTCTTTGTCGTTCAGAAATGACTAAAGTAAGTATGAGAATGCTTTATTCTGAAGATATACTGTTCGCAAGAAGCATTTAGTTTGATCGATCAAACATGCCCCGGGATTCGCTTTCAAATAACTCGATATGCCTTATTCTCTATCCATCTAGGATCGCTGAGGCGCGGGACTCCTCACAGGTAACGCAGGAGTGGTATTTCGTGCCTATTGTCGCATGTCTGAATGCGTAGCCGTATTATTACCTGACCCAGAATTATGCCCTTACGTTTGCTCGTGAGCATGTGAGGCATAGTTTAAGACCCACTAGCTCTGGTCAAAATGATTATGCGATGTTGAGAATGTAGGCATTTTCTTCTGTGACTTTAAGCCTGGAGTCTTTATCCATCATTCTGTGTATACTCCGTTGTTAATAAACAGAGAATCAGTGAGAAAATTCACAATGACCTGAATTAATGCTAAGTTATGCAGCAATCTCATCTTTGAAATGTAAGAACTGATCTCACATGCAGTTATTGAAACCTAGGATTAGCTATGTGAGCGAACGAATCTCTTTGTTTCAGTTAGGAGTAAGGCATAATGGTTCGAAATTCAAGATTATAAAGCTAGCGGAGTCTTGGTCACTGAAGCCCTAGAAGTTCCCAAAAGGAATACGTGTGACCTACTTCTTGACTTCGCACACCGGAGATACTAGCGCAAGGAGCCAACTCCCCATTAAGTTCGAACTTCATCGATAGTTCCAGTAATCCTGCTTGCCAGTGGTCCCTAGCGAACGTTTACCCACAATAGGAAACTTCGGTATAAATGCCTGCACTTTAATGCTAATTCGGCTTGGTTGGAGCCTTGGGAATCCTGATCATGAATGGCGTTCCACCGGGCTTGGCTGTTGAGCTTTCTGTAAATAAACCATACTATTGACTGGTAATTAAGTAGAGTTGACATACATACTACAGATTTGGAAGTCATGACCGGGTTCTGGGCCGGCCAAATGCAAAGAATTTACAACAGAACGTCGCAAGTGCCTTGAATTAATCAGTCCATAGAATGGTCAATCGGGATGACTCGAGCATCATGCGTTTTCAGGCCGAAGATTCCATCCTTGCGCATCGTGAACCACTTTGAGCCCGTTCTTTTCAACCATCGATCACTGGCAAGCAGACCGTCGGCCTAACTTCTCGGCACTGCCGCTTGGACGACACGCCGACTTTCACTGCCCCGACTGCACGTCTATGAAACTTTGACAGCTCTCAGACATCATCAGATTAGAGGTACAAACTTACACGTCCCTAGCGCATACTAAGTAGTAGATTGCGGTCTGTGGCATTGACGCTTCTGCACCTCACCAAGCGCCGACCGCACTTTGCCGCATGTCCTGTGACAATTTCGACGCGCCTAGATGGTTTCTTCAAAACAAAGGTGCCGCTAAAACTACAAACAATATGTATCCACCAACGTCATTATCGAGATCGGGGGCAGGGCCGGTCTACCTGCGAGAAAGCAGCGAGGCTCACCAGTGATAGTGAGGTCCAATGTAGTTTAGAGAATGTATTGTGCATGGAGTTCTGGGGGTTCTAGAATATGAATCACTTTCGTGTGCCACCATCCCGGTGTAAAATCGTACGGCCTGCCATCACTACTTCAGACCCTGCGCATCTATTTGCAAGTACCGCAATATCAAGATCCCGTATCTACGAGTCACTTGAGTCCCACGTCATCGAGAAAGGCAGAAACCCCAGGTGTTCATATCAGGGAAAGAAAGGCTGTACTTGTCTATTTCAGAAGAATGAACCAGGGTAAGCGACGGGCGTACTTCTTCGTATACCACGTAGGAGACATGAAAGGAGAAAGCTCATTAGTCGCCAAAAACATATGACCTTTCCGTATACTAGCTCGCATTTGCACCGCGCTCCTCAACAACGCCGGCTCGGCTCAAACATCGGCCCAGAAGCCTGCCGGGATAGCGGGATTGAGCACATCCTAAAATGGTAAAGTATTCGTACTCGAGTGCAAGTCTCGCTGTCACATCAAAGCGAGTCAGGCGAAGTCTAGACTCTTGCGAGAGCGTAAGGCATAGAATTGAGGATGGTCGATAACCTGCCCTCGTCACGGGGGAGAGGGGATCATCACGATCAAGGAACCGCAGTATCTCCTGTCAAACAACTGCCGTCAACTTTTACTTGAGTAGGTGAAGGCAGATACGAATTGGATCATCATCGCACAGCGGCTGGTCGGAGATAGTTTGTTGTCCGTTGATAACAATAACCCGCTGATAAGCTTGCCCACACATTATCAGTGAAAAGAGCACGTTCCAGACACCAAGTCGACTCTAATTCTATCACTACTATACAAAACAGAATCGGTACGGCAATTTACTCCCACCAATGAGCTACCGCATACGTATTCTCAAAAGGGTAAGTAAAGTGTCCAAAGGGTCTGTGGAGAGTCTGGTTCTGACCACGGACTGGCCTGCTGCCGGCCTGAAGTGATCCTCAGCCCTAGGAAAGGTCCGCAAGAGCCTAAACAGACCAAATCCTAGAGCATGCGGCGCTCAGTACCAGGTGCGAAACCGAATCAACTGCCCAGGAGCCCGACTCACCAAGGTTGGGTGCCGATGTGGGGGTGCCCCGGACGCCAAGACAGCAGTTCTTTGTGTCCACCTCTGCGCTCCCCTCTCCTCCGATCCCCCAGTGCCCCTCCCACGGCAAGGGTAAGTGACTCCGACCCGTCGGGAGAATCCGAACTAGAGTTCGAGAAAGTCGGGAGAACCCAGGACTCAGGCCGAGGCTGAGTTTGGTGCAGCTGCCACCTGAAGAAAATGCTCTACAACTTGATGCGTTGCTGGACCACGCTCCGGAGGCCGTGTGCCGGTTTTTAGACCGTTTCATTGATTGCCCAGTCTTGTCGGCGCTTCCATCATGGAAAGCTTCGTCTTGAGCTTTGTACTGAGACTCTGCTTGTGGTGTACCAAATTTCTGGGATGTCAAAACTCGATGAAAAACGAAAACGTGCAGCGGTTCCCCGTCTCTCATGGTAGCAAATCTTCTACGTTCTAGAAGTTGAACCTTTCGGTGTCGAGTGGTACGATGCATACGGGTGAGGGAGCCCTCGCGAGGAAACCTGCCATTCTTCGTATTCTTACCTAGTGTGTTACATCTCTGCCTGCACCTGAAAACGTGCCGACGACGCATAACAACGGGCAGGACGCGCAGTAGCACCTCGTGCATCACGATATTGTCTGCCCGGTCAGCAGAACCGTTGAAGCCAAACCAGCCACAAAAAGCCATGCGGCCAGAACCCCGGCGGCACAGTGCCGGCTGACCCGTCGAGGGACTGACGCCTACTTACGCACTTATGCTATCAAAACGAAGTATTTGAATGCAGAACAACAGACACGCGTTTTCAGACTGTTGCGTCTTTGGCAATGAATAAGGGCTCGAATTTGTCCCAGAGGACCGCTCCGTAGACCGCAAATGAAGGCTAGATTATTTGGTAGGGAATACTGAGCGGAGCAACCGGAGCTTACGGTTAGCGTAGCGCATGTCACCACGCAGGGGAATCAGGGACATTCCTAGTATCTCCCACGAGATACTACTGTTGCACACAAAGGGACTGGAATACGATTATTCCAAGGCTTATGTGGGATGTTGACGCCTCCACAGATGAGGGACCGAGAAACTCACGTACGGGCCGCATGCCATGGATTTAGATCCAGAACTACATCGGGTTGATGTATCAATCGCCGCTAATAGGAGCTATGACACTCACTCCTCACAAGCAGTCCAAACACTCGATTGGCTCGCAACTTCTCCACTGCAGAGCTTAGGCCCGTTACTGTCTCTTTGAATGATCCCGTTTGGGGCTTAAAGTTTCCCCCGGTGTACAGAAACGGGCTGCTAGGGGAGATGGAAACCATACAAGTGTGGGATGGGGGTGCCACGCACTCTGCTCGGCAGGCATCGCTGAATTCCTCGCGAGAATCTTTCTGGTGAGGATACAAGACGAAACATTAGGAGATGTTCGTTATTACTAGTTTCTCCAAAGGCTTTAGGCGGTCCTTCTGCAGCTTGCTACCGTACCCTGCGAAGTTTAGCCCCTTGGAGTGACGATCGTCTCAAGTATGCTGCATTTGCTGGCTGCGGCGAATAATTCAAGCGACGGCCTCCAGCAATGTCCGGATGTGAGGAAACACTCTGGACTTCGACCGCTGCGGATACTCATTATTCGCGGTTAAGGTAGATGCCGGACACCATGCGCGCCGGTTTGCGCTATGGCAGCACTGTAGAAGAGCTCATACCCGAATGTCTTGGCTTTGGCTGCCACAAGATCTCTACTGTGAGCTCCTCCAGTCTGATGGCCACTTTCTTGGGAAAGTTACGAGGATGACGGTGCCAGCAAAGCGGTAAGCTCATCTGAAAAAATACCATCGACAGGCCAGACTGAATATTCGACTGAAGTAGCCCAAACCCAAAAGCGAGTCATAACACCGTCGTAAGGCTTCCTTCAGAACCTAATCCACGAATGGCAGTCCAACCCTACTGCACAGGAGCCTATTAGCAACGCCTCAAACCTTAAGCCTCCCTACATGTGCACTCGGCCGCATCTGACCTTCGTCAATCCGAAATCTACTTATACCAAGGCACGCCAGCTGATACGTTCCATGGCCCATTGATCTCAGGATCTCATCATTCAGCACATGTCACCCAGCGTTGATATTGAAGGACACCGGCATCGACAAGAGGTCAGAGGTCCTCCTCCACCGTGACACTCCTTTGGCGAATCCCCTCTTCGAGATGGACGACATCGACTCCACAGTCATCGAGACGTCGAGCAGCCCGAAACACGAGATCCGCCCCGAGCAGATCATCAGCCTCATTATCGCACCTATATCGTCTTGCCTCCTGGCATACCTACTTCGTGAGGGAATCGTTGCTGCTAGGTTATCGACAAGATCTAATGGCTTTCAAGGTCACCAGTGGTCCGCGATTAAAGACTGGCGTCCGTTGCCATGGACAAGATGGCGTAAGGGGTGACATTTCGAAAAGAGTCTGGAACCTTTTGGGCTAAAAGAACATGTCGCAGTTGTGTTATTCACCTACCTCTTCTCGTGCCTTTTCGTCTTCGGATCATGGGTCTTCCAGCTTTTATTTCTGGCTGAGCTTCGCATGGATTTCATACCATGTTCAGCTGCGGGCATACTGTGTCTGACTGCCTACGTCGTAATTAAAGTAAGTTGTAAACCAAGTCCGTCGTTGGTATCATTGCTAAATCCGTCACAGGCCGTACGTTTACTGGTCATCCAGGCTTCAATCCCAATCGTTGAATCTTGGCCAATCTGACTCTTCAATCAGCTCGTCTACCTTTTCATGGTTGATAAAGCGGTAAAACTCTACCCCAAATAACCCCCCGATCTCAATCACGGCTAACGCCTTGACCAGCATGTTATCCGAGGCACTACCAAGTCTCGTCTCAAGTCCAAATTGTATGTATTCAATGCGTTTGTCATGCTGGGTATGTCCATGTTCCGAGCCCAGTCGCCAACATCCCTGACCGATTGCCATTAGCTGTATACGGCATTATAGCAACGTTCAACTTTGTCTCGTAAGTATTCTCATGCTCTGTCCCCGAAACATACACTAACACCTGTTGCTCTGCTAGTCGAGGGTCTCGGTACGACAAGGAAAATGATGTCTGCAGTATCGGACTGGAACGCACCATCCTGTTGCCCGTCATTTTCTTTGACGCTGTTGTCAACGTGTATCTGACGTCTCTGTTCTTGTTTCCACTACTGAGTAAGTCATGTGGCTCCTCAGTCTCTCTGAATCTGGACAAGCTCTGACACCGGGTCATTAGGATTACACTCGATTCAAATATCGATGATGAAGCCATGGACGATGCATGAGAATACCCTTCATTTCTCTCGAGTTCCGCCCAACGTAAGGCTACGGAGACTCGCATTACGAACGTTTGCCGGTGTTATCGGCACATTGGCCATTAGCATTGCGTAAGAAGCGATAAATGATGTGAAAGCATGAAATTCTTGATTGGGCTAACATCGATCTCTTCTAGCAACCTATCAGTGTTGGTCGCTCTGGAAGGCGAGATAGTTTGGCTTTGTCTCACCTGTTGCAATACGGACAGTAAGTTTACTCCGTACCTTCCCGCTTCGTCTTCCCTCCTCGCTAGAGCCGTTCTGCAACTTTGATCAGACTCTAAAATTTGGGTAGTTCTCTTCACCGCATTTGTCATTCATTGGATCAACTCTAGCGGCAAAGCTACTCCAATATCCAATGTCGAAGTTGCTCCTACCCCAGCCCCGCCGCCATCATCAAGAGAGCTGGGCGAAAAAGAAGTTGTGACCTTCACTGAAATATTTGATCAACGACGAAAGTCGTACGACGACCACGAGCCATAGTTGCATTCTTGTTCTGGTCATGGAATGGCTGGGCAACGTTCCTGAGGAGAACGCACCTACATGTAGCCACCGGACCTCTTTATGAAAACGGCCTTGTATCGAACATATGATTCCCCCTCATGGATAAGCGTATTGTTTTCTCAAATCTGGGTGGCACTGGTTGGAAAAGCATTGCATGAAGTATTTGTTCGTCGTTCACTGCTGTAACTCAGCTTTCATCGTATACACGGGTTCAACTTATTGCGTCAATCAGGGTGCAAGAAAGTTTACTTACGAAACACATATCATCAAATAAAACCGATACCTCTGCCTATGTTTCACAATAGTCTGCATTAACCATTGCACAAAAGCGACACTCCTCTTGGTACCAGGTAGGCTGCAATAGCTCATGTCGGTCTCAAGATTGGCAACTAGGCAGCAACAGCTTACGTGTCGTTCCATTGACGACATCGAGTAATTTACATCGTTTTTTTGTAGTGTTCAAGCGGATATTCAGTTACTTTGGGTGCCTGAACTGCCAAGTATGAGAGGACAAATCCAACGTCGTCAATTAGGCCACCATGATTGCATTGACTCGGGAGTCTCCGACGCTTTGAAGGCAGCCATATAGAACGCGGTATCATCGTCAAGACTAGGTTGCTGATTTCGCACTTTCATGCTGTATATCTGATGCACTATATTAAATTTACTTTAAGCATGCCGCCGGCAACCCTGGGCTGAGTGCAAGTAGCACACTGTCAATGCCCTCAGGCTTGCTTCCCCGCCGCCAAGAACACCTCGGTCTTGATACCTAGAGGGGAGGCCGTGTATTCTGCCCGACGAGCGACCGAGTTATGCCCAAAACAATGTCTCACACCCTATACGCCACCGCTGCCATTGTATTCTACACTGCCATGGTTTTACTCTCAGCGCACATGTCTTCCCGAGCCGAACCGCCTAGCCGGCCGGCAGTGACCATGCCGTCCGAAGCACTGTCGTCAGCATTGGAAGCCGGACATGGCCAAAGACGTTGTCGATGCGTGGAAAGACGAGCAGAGCACCAAGTTCGTAAAGCACTAAAACGCGAAGAACGCCTCGTCGCCGCTTTCAACGACGCAGGACGCCTACTCCTCAATCGCCGTACAGCCTTCGGCGTGGGTCACTGGACCACAGTCTATGGATACCCGAGCACCGGGGGATGTTATACGCTAAAGTGCGACGGTGTGGAACTCGACTTCTTGGGCTTGCGCCGCTTCGAGCACTCATTCAGGTCAGGAGATCCGGAAGAGGAGGATGCGCACTGCGCAAGGATGATGAAGCTTGGGCCAAACTGGTGGAAGAGCCTGACGCATTATCTGGTCAACCAGTCTTTTGGGAATTCCACGTGGGAAGATGCTGTTGTCATTGCTGGCTATCCAGCAGCGGGTGGTCTCTGGCTGCTGAAGACCACCAGGGCAGAGGCTGCTAACGCTGGAGCTGCGAGAATTCACAATGCGAGGCACATGGAGGAACGGTGCCAGATGATCGAAAATTGCGGCGGGAGATTCTACAAAGAGGCCGATGAGGTTCCAGAGCTCGTTGTTAGGATACTGGGCGTACACTAGATCTATAGGTCAGGGTGAATAGCACATGCTGTATCATGCGGTATGGCAGTATGTGCTGAACGGAGTAGGAGGTTCGTGAATCTGCGTTGTTTGAGTTTGGCCTATCCATTTGCCTGTTTTGAGAAATTAAGTTCTGTGGTTGAGACACATGGCGGCTTGTCAAGCAGATATCCCCCGATCGTGTCACCATGACCGGGTGAGATCTTTCCCCCGCCGCTGATTAAGTAGCTGCCACTGGCCAGGTAGACTCCCAGACTGTTGACAACACAATGATGAAGCACCCGTCCGGGGAAAGGGTAGGTATCGTAGCATTTCAAATTCCAAGGGCTTTGCCTACCGCATTTGTGCAACACGTGTATAAAGTTTAAAGGACACTGTGGTAATATCGATAGAAAGCTCTGGGCAATAGAAAGACCAAGCTCTATTTTTATCAAACCATCTACTGCGACACACTTCCTGTCATTGTTGTCGGGGAGTTTGAATGACTAAGGCAGCAACCAACAGACCATGCCATGCTTCTGGGCCAGGCTGCAGGCATAAGCAAGTAATCTCCTATCCAGGCAGCCAACAAAGCGGGAGTTGGCTGCATTTCTCGGCGAAATAGGCATCAGTCGGCGGTTTACTAGAAAACCAGGCAAGTGACCGACTCGGCCTCGCGGAATAAAGTTTCAATTCCCCGAGATAACCTGCGGCCTCCGGAGTGCCATTCGCGAAAAATGACCATGAATGTTTTCACTGCCCCTCTACAAATATTGCTCAAACCGTCGCAAGTATTATACTCCATATCAATTGCATCTTACTCCTATGTTACTATCAGACTAGTAGCCTGGGCTGTCGAGTATTATCGAATCATGACGATCATACCATCTTCAGACGGCTACGACGATGACGATTCTCGCTGCTCCTATTGCCGCGGCTACAAGGACGCGATAACCCCGGAACAAAAGTACAGAACCTCGTTCGGGATAAGATCCGGCACGGCGGTGCGTGGATGGCCAAGCCACGGTGGGATTTTCTTCCTAGACGACTGCGTTGGCGTAGACCTCGAATTCCTTCAGCTCGACCGTTTCGAACCCACATTAAGATCAGAAGACCAGGCGGAGGAAGATGCGCACTGTTTGAGGATGCGCATGCTCGGTGCGGTGTGGTTTGATAGCGAATACCCCCGCGAACTAGAAGATTATTCCAAACTTGGCGACTACCCAATAACGTCTCGACGAAGCGATCATGTCATTGCCGGGTACCCATCCACGGGCGGCGCTTGGGTTCTCCGGGTCTTTGAGGAAGACGGTCGCAGCATGGGAGTTGGTCGGATAAAGAACGCGAGAAACATGGAAGAGCGGTGCAGGGTCATTCAGAAGCTTGGTGGGGTGTTTTACGAAGACCCTTTTGAATCACCCGAACTGGATCTTCGACATGAATTTCCAGACCCGAGGAGGAATGGAACTGTGGTATACCACATGATACGGCACATGGTTCCGGAGAAGTTGACATTGGAGATACGCCAAAAGTCACAAGAAGTCGAAGTAGACTATAATTAATTAATGAATCGCATTATTGGTTGGGATTTCTCCTCTGCACCAGATATTCGGGCCATTAACACGTGAACTGGGAGGCAGAAAAGTCAAGACTCGGCCCTGCCGGAGCACAGGCGATCTTGCCAAGCAACCAGTTCAACTGGACATTTCTGGCCGTGAAAGGGCCGGCGGTCGATCTATGGATACGGAACATACGCTTACAATTAAGTTGTTTCCAGTTGCAGTGGAGAAGGCGGCAACTAGAAAAACTGCTCGTAAAAACATGTGCTGTTCTTGAGGCGGGTGAGACAAGGAGTGAAATGCCACTCGCCTGTGGAGGGAGCGAGAGTCTAAACTTGGCGGGGTAAGCGAATTTCTACTCGCCCGCGTTCCATCCACCTGGATTGGCTAGACCCTGACCTGTATGAGAGGAATGCTGATTGTCACATCGGCAATTGCCTTGCATCTATCAACTCTCCTATTAACCTACCGCCCGGTGCTGATTTAGGAGGTTAGAATTTCCGATGCAGCTCCCAAAGCTTCCAGCGAAAGCCGCATACATCCATCTTCGAAACCCAGCAAGGCGCAATGCCCTGAGTCTGGAGATACTAGAAGATCTCCGCACGCAGCTACTCGCGCACCTCACGTCACCATCATCCGGCAGAGTTTTGACGCTCCCTCCCTTTAGACCCCCAATCTTGCGAGAGCTCGAGAAGGCAGGCTCATCGTCTGACTCGGGCGACAGGAGCTCGTCAGGATACAGCTGGCTCGTCGATGCCGCAGAATGGAACCGAGAGCGAGCCGGGCTCCCGAACGTCCTCGTCCTCCGAAGCAGTCCGGGGCCAGTCTTTTCGTCGGGTCATGACCTCAAACAACTGGCCTCGCTCTCGCGTGTGGAGGTGAAGCGCACGTTTACTCTCTGCGCCGAAGTCATGTCTCTCATTCGCCAGAGCCCGGCACCCGTCATCTGTCCCATCCATGGCCTCGCGACGGCTGCCGGACTCCAGCTCGCGTTGTCGACCGATTACCCAATCGCCCTGTCTACCACCAAGTTCCAGCTGCCCGGCGCGAGCATAGGAATACCGTGCACGAGCCCCGTGACGGCCGTATCCCGGCGCCTACCACCAGGCCAAGCTTACCGACTTCTTCTCACAGCCGAAGCGGTCGCCGCTGACGACATGCGAGGTGCTGTCGATGTGGTGCCGACGCCCGAGCATGCAGAGTCCACGGACACGGCGGCTGCCGCCTTCGAAGGGCGCGTTGCGGAGGTGGTGGAGAGACTTGCGGGGTCAGGGGGTCAGCCGATGGCCCTCGGTAAATGGGCCTTTTGGACACAGCTCGGTATCAAAGGTGACGATGTTGACGGAAGAGGAGGTGATGGTTATGAGGATGCGGCGAGTTGGGCCGGACGAGTCATGGCGCTTCATGCGGGAAGTGCTGATGCCCAAGAAGGAATCGCATCCTTTATTGAGAAAAGCAAGCCGCAATGGCAGACTTGAAGACCTGGGCGACTACGTTGGCCGGGACCGGATGGGATACTAATGTCGAGCCACAGCCTGCAGAGACGGCTCCGCCCCGGTTCAATTCACGGGGTGCCCCCGCCCGGAGCCGCCGGAACCCACTAAATGAAAAATTCTGTTCGAAGATCTCGATGTTTTTACATGACAAGCAACAAAAAACCCTGACTACTCGCTTCCAAGTGCAAAAGGATGACCAACGTGGGGCTCGAACCCACAACCCCCAGATGACTATATCTCATAAATGAGAAGATAGAAGTCTGATGCGCTACCATTGCGCCAGCCGGCCGGTATCCACGATTTGGACTGATGGTGAGGTCGAGTTCCTGTGGAGTTGTTGATTTTCAGCTCGAAATGCAACTAAGTTCGATCAACTTCACAATTTTGAGCATCTCCATCCCACAACTCCACTACTCGAGAACCAGGACATACCTAATCCTTCGTGTTCCCTCATTCCTTTATATCCTTTGAGTCGATTTCCCCCGTAGACACTGTTTAGATGAGATGATTCTAAATTTTAACTTGGAAACACATAGCATAGAGGCACTGCCCACACCTACGGAGTTGACCCGACTACATCCCTAAGCATAATAGGCTGTGTATGCTTGCCGTCATCAAAACTCTGCCTCCCAATCTCCCTGAAGCCGTATTTTCTGTACAAAATAGCACCCGCGTTACTAGCTTCTAGAACCGTGGGCACAGCTTCTTCATCGCTACGGTCAAGCCCCCATTGAATCAGTCCCCTCCCAACACCGCGACCTCGAGCGTCAGGACATACGCCAAGCCAACATAGACGCCATCGTTCAGCTGGATACATGTTCTGGGCTTTGTTCAGCTGAGACATCAACTCCTTGACCTTGCTGGCCGGCAAAGACCCGACCAAGAGCCGATACCAGTATTCCAAAGCAACTTGCAGCATCATGAGACCTAGAGGCAAGAGTTAGCGGAGTAGACATTTCTGCGGTCTAACTGAGTTGAGGCTAACGTTTGCGCAGGCTGTTAACCTGCCACGACTTTGCTTTTGCGGACGTGCCATGTCGTTGCCAAATGCCGAGGCCAACATACTGTCCCCCTCCGGCTTCGGACACGTCCCTAGCGACGGTTATCATGGTACCAGCCTTTGCCATCTCATATCTGAGAATGAGTCGCCATATCACACGAACGTTCTCAATCCTGTTGTCGTGATGCTTGGTGAATAGCATCGAGAAAGCTGGATCATCAACCCAAATGCGGCACGCAAGTTCGATCAGCTCGTCTAGTTGGGTAGGTGAGACATCTCGGAGAACGGTTATGGAGGTCATTGCATAGAGTATGTGCCAGAGCGATCAAGGGTCGAAAGGAGAGAGTGAGCTCAATTGTTCTCATGCAATAAGCCACCTATTAAATGCGGGACTGAACAAGTCGGTGAGGGGAACCTGAGTATGCAATATTTGTATGTGGCCTGTTTTCTTGGGCCTGGTATGACCTGCTTAGCTTATCAACCACGCTGGGGCTGTGGATTGGTGGCTCACGTCACGGAGAATCTTTTCAACGATACTCAACCAAAGTCCTTTTTTGTTCGAACTCATGAGGATAAATGTAGGCCGCTGCATACCTGTGACTCGCACTAAGTGCACCGTTGCCATGTGCAAGGCAGGGTCTCCCTTTCCGGTTATTTGAAGGATCGCAGAAGTTGGAGACTGTTTTTTTCTTCTTTTTCTTTTTTGGAACTTACAGCCTTTCCAAGGTTTGAGTCGTTTCCGTGGTTGTTGGTAACCACAGAAATCCCATAGAAATGTTGAATGAGGCTGTACTCATATGGAAGCCGGACTGAGAAGCTTTAGGCAACGGTATTATGCTTCATTCGTCTGGCCTAGACCACCTCACCTCAGTGCAGTAGTGATACGCAAAAGAAATGCTTTTGGGCTTCTCGCCTCTTGAAGGAGCGCTACAGTCAATGCGACCAGCCAGATTGGTGCGACACTGATCAACGCCATCGCCGCCACAGACCTAGAAATGAAATTAGGTTGTAAATCCGTAAGATCCTCAAGGAACACAGCGTGCTATTGTTTGGCCTTCATGAGCACGCCTGCTCTTCCTCAGCTGCTATTTAATATCTTCAGCCTTCTGCATCTTGTTTGGTTCAATCGAATTCAAATTCTCCAGAGCTTCATTATCGCAATCTTCTTTTGATCTCGGTTGACTCTCCTTTCCAGTTCACACTCATTCACCCTCCAAAATGATTTACAGCGCGGGTCTCATCACTTCTATTCTCCCTCTCATCGCAGCGCGCGTGACTGAGGACGCCTCTTTGGCGGGTCGGACAACCTATCCATTCAACAACCTTATAGCCTACGGCGATGAACTGAGTGATAACGGCAACGGCTCTTTTGCGCACGGCATCACCGGCGATCCAGCCAATGTGTACGGCTTCGGAACATGGACTAACGGCCCGGTCGCTGTGTCCTATCTCTCCGACCTACTCCGGGTTCCGCTGACAGACTATGCATTCGGCGGGTGCTGCGGTGGAGGCGATTTTGGGGCGACCTTTGACAACGCCTACACCAAGTCGAAGGCTGGGGCGACAGACATGATTGGACAGGTTGCTAACTACACCGGTCGTGGCGCCCCGGGTATTCGCTCCTCTCTGCAGTTCCTCTGGTTCGGCGAGAACGACCTCAGCATGCATACCGACGCGTTTTGGTTAGGCGATCCAAAGAACGCGCAGTTTGCAACCGACGCGGCAGTCAAGATCACCGCGCAGGTTCAGAACCTCATTGATAAGGGAGCACCGTACGTTATGGTCGCCAACATCTACCCTAAGCATCTCGCCCCGGTGACGCCTAAGTACCTCTGCGGTACCAACGCCGACTGCGTCAAGACCTGGGGCCAGGTAATCCAGCAAGCAAATTCGGCTATCCAGAAGAGCCTCGAGCAGTTTGGCAAGAAAGTCATCTACTATGATGCATTCAGCTTCATGATTCAGATATTGGCCAATCCCAAGGCATATGGCTTCCCAAAGCCTCTCAATCTCTTTTGTGACGGAGACGAGACGGCTCAGTGGACGGATTGCATGATTGACGGGCACGCCAATGAGTACTTCTGGATGAACTTCATTCAACCAACGACTGCTGGACACAAGTTGATTGCTCAGGATATGAAAAAGACCATCGATACGCACTTCGCCTGAAGACCGCGCCATCAACGCTCTTGATATAGACATTTCCAGATGCAAGGGCACCAAAAGTTTGACGGAACCCGAATACACTTCATTCTCTTGTATATAGCTCTTTCTGTGTTTCATCCTGCATAAACCTGAGACTTTATTCTGTGTTTCTTCGTATTTCACTGAGCATCCACTACCCAATCTTGAGCTCGTGAGTCTGGAAAACGATCATCGTTTGACATCATCGCGGAGACAACTCTCAGTTTGTTGAGAAGACAAATGAGCTAAGCAGCAATCCACCACACTCTCAACTATCAATATCGCTAAGATTCCTCGATATCTATCCCCTCTGTGATCTTCATGACCTTTCTAACGTCATCAAAGTTCACCGCTCTTCCGTCTTTCTTTGCCATGATACCAGCTGTCTTCACAATGTTCCGAATGCGCCGACCATTCACATTGATCCTTGACAGGGATCCAAATTCACTCTCTGACATGGTTGAGTTGTTCTTCTCTAGGAACGTCTGCCAAATTTTCAGACGAGAGGGTTCGTCTAAGGCGGGGTAGTTGATATTGAGATGGACACGGGAGTAGATGGCAGGGTCAAGGGACCGCTCGCGGTTCGTCGTCAGGAAGAGAAGAGACGGGTAGTACTCGAGTTCTTTCAAGAAGCCTGTACGGATTTTGGTCTCGGTCAGATGAGTACAAAGACGTAATGTCAGGGCTACTTACGGGACACCATCCTGTTTCGTTTGGTCGAAGCATCACTACGCTTCTCCAAGTACATGTCACACTCGTCAATCAGTAGAACGGCTCCCCAGCGAGCAGCAAGTTCAAATGCAGTTGTGAAGCTCATTGAACGATCAGGATCTCGGGGGCGGGGACTCAAGGATCGGTTCCGGTCATCATAGCGTACTGGAACAGCGTCATTGTCGCGGTCGTCCTCATGGTAATCTCCTAACTCCATCTTGAATAGGGGAGCCTGTATCTTCTCGGCAACTATCACAAGAGTCAGTTCCAGGTCTGATATTTAGAGATCTCCGAAAGTATATGGAATCGTACCAGACTCGGCAGTGAGAGTCTTGCCGACACCTGGGTCCCCGGCAAGCAAGGCTACGAGCCCACCACCTATAGAATGTTAGCGATGTACCTCCAACACATCAAATATCAGTGACCTTCTACAACTTACCCTTTCCGTTTATGACATCATCGAATGCAACTTTGTCCTTGACTTGACTCTCAACAAAAGCCAGTATGAGATCCTTGTATCCTTCAGGCAGCACCAGACTCTCGAAGGGCTTCGTGTTCCATTCGATATCGTGAATCCGGTCTACTTCAAAGCTCCCTATTCCGAAGGATTAGAAAATGTCAAAAGTCTAGCAGTGTAGTGTTTTATTAGATACTTACTCCAAGTCTTCTCCTTGAGATCAAATCCATCGACCTCGGGGTCCATGAGCTGTAAATGAAACTCTGTAAGGTGTTTCCTGGAATTCTCCTCAATATGCTCATCACGTAGCCCTGGAACTTGTGTTAGACTGATATAGTATTGGTGTTCGTGGGGTATTTGCTTACTGAATTCCGGAGAGATACTCCGGCGCCTTCGGACAGTCTCGATCACGACCGGGGATCTTCGTCTGGGCGCGACAGGTGGATAGTACGGGGACACTCGTCGAGGCGCGGGGTGACGCATCGGCCGGCGACCGCCTCTCGGTCTTTCGTCCCACTCATCAATGTACTCTTCCAGAGGGATGTGTATGCCATTTGGGGGAGGGGAGTCCACTGGTGACTGATTGATGAGGTCGGTGTACTGGCTGAAAAGCGGCTGAAGTCTTTCTTT